TCCCCAAACATTATCAAGACTTCATCATTTTCACTAAGGAAAACTTTGATGAACTTCCCCCTCACAAGCCTTGGGACCATGCCATTGAACTTATTCCCAATGCCAATGCCAGTTTGGACTGCAAGATATACCCTTTAAACCCCAAGGAACAAGAGGAATTGGACAAATTCCTTGATGAAAACCTGGCTACTGGCTGAATTCGACCCTCCAAATCCCCTATGGCATCCCCCTTTTTCTTTGTCAAGAAAAAGGATGGAAAGCTGTGGCCAGTACAAGATTACCGCAAACTTAATGAAATAACCATCAAAAACCGCTATCCCTTACTGCTTATCTCTGACCTAATGGATAAGCTTAAGGACGCGAGGTATTTCACCAAGTTAGATGTCTGTTGGGGATACAACAATGTCCAGATCAAGAAGGGCAATGAATTCAAGGCCGCATTTCGCACTAACTGAGGACTCTACGAGCCCATGGTTATGTTCTTTGGATTAACCAATTCACCTGCCATGTTCCAGTGGATGATGAATGACATCTTTAAAGATCTCATTGCTCAGGGAAAGGTCACCATTTATTTGGATGACATCCTCATCTTCACAAAGGACAAGGCGGAACACCAAAGAATTGTATGGGAAGTCCTGAGGATTCTGTGCAAGAACAGATTGTTCTTGAAGGCAGAAAAATGTGAATTTGAGGTACTCAAAACCGAGTACCTCAGGGTCATTATCAGCAAAGGATCCATTAAAATGGATCCAATAAAAATCGCTGGTATCATGGACTGGCCAGCACCCTCCAAGAAACAGGAGCTACAATCATTCCTGGGATTCACCAATTTCTATCAATGGTTCATCTGGCACTATAGTGCAATTGTCAAACCGATGACGAAACTCACAGGGAAGGTCCCTTGGACATGGGGGAAGGAGCAACAAGAGGTGTTTGAGAAACTCAAACGTCAATTCACAATGGGAGTCGTTTTGGCGATGCCAAACAACTACAACAAGTTTTGCATGGAGGTGGACTCCAGTGAAGGGGCAATTGGTGCCATCCTGTCACAGGAACAGGAAGGGAAATGGTGCCCAATTGCATTCCTTTCAAAATCTCTTTCCGCGATGGAACAGAATTATGAGATTTACGACAAGGAATTACTAGCGATAATGATTGCCTTAGAAGAATGGTGACATTATCTTATGGGTGCCCATCAAGATTTCGAAATCTGGATGGATCACTCAAATCTACAATATTTCCACAAACCTCAGAAGCTCAACTGCTGACAAGTGCAATGGGTCACTGAGTTGGCGGGATACCATTTCATGCTCGACCACAAGCCAGGAGCATCCAATAGGAAGGCCGACCTCTTGAGTTGGCAGGCCAATCACGACCAAGGCAAGAAGGACAATGACGATATTGTCCTCCTAAAGCCGGAATTCTTCCACGCTTTAATAATCCCTATGGAGGAAGAAATTCATGGCAAAATTCAAAGAGCAACCAGCAATCATCAACGATGGGACAAAGGAATTGCTTCAAGTCTCAATCACGAGAAGGGGGTCATTGAAAGGGACCACCTTCTACACTATGATGGACGTATCTACATCCCCCATGATCATATGCTAAGAGGAGAGCTCATCTCCCACTACCATGATCACATCTCTGCAGGACACCCAGGCATCGAAAAGACCAAAGAATTGGTCTTAAGAGATTACTGGTGGCCTAAACTGTGAAGAGATGTGGAAACCTATGTGCGAGGATGCGAAGCGTGTCAAAGAACAAAAACTGATACACAGTGGAAGGCAGCTCTGCTACATCCTAATGCTATACCATCTCGACCTTGGGAACACATCTCGGTCAACATGATCACTGGATTTCCAGAATCAAAGGGCTACAATGCAGTATTAGTCATTGTAGACTGATTCTCAAAATACATCGTGCTGATTCCATGCACGAAAGAACTCTCGTCAAGTGGATGGGCCAAGATCCTATGCGACAAGATTATCTGTCGATTTGGGGTCACCCCCTCCAAAGTCATCTCTGACCGGGGACCACAATTCATATCGAAATTCATCACCGAACTATACGCAATGATGAATATTCAAGGAAATCCATCGATGGCTTATCACCCTCAGATGGATGGACAAATGGAATGGGTTAACCAAGAACTCAAAAAGTATCTTTGAGTCTTTGTTAACCACAAACAGGATGACTGGAGTGAATGGCTGCAATGGGCAGCATTTGCTCACAACAACCGCCAACACTCTGCAACGGGCTTTTCCCCCATCAAAGTAGTCTTCAGACGAGATGGGGAGATTCACCCAACCATGGTGAGGCCGTCGGAAACACCATCGGTAACTGACTTCATTGAAAGCCTCCAGAGAGTATGCAAACAAGCGGAACACTCTCTGAATAAAGCCGCTAAGGTTATGAGAAAGGCTTATGACAAACACACTCGTCCTGCACAGGAATACCAACCAGGTGACAAAGTCTGGTTGGATTCGACCAACCTTCACCTTCCCCGACTGGCGAAAAAGCTAGATAACAAATGCTGATGTGCTTGGTAACGGTGAGTGACAAAAGGCTAGTGAATGGATATGAACACCACAACACCAAAACCCTCTACTACTCTACACTAATCACTAATATTATTGAGTTTGGGTGTTTTGAGTATGATGGAAGCACTCTGCAGACTTCAACAAATCAGGGAAGGGTTGTTTAAAGACATATATTTGGTACTAGTGAGCTACACAAGATGTAATACTCATGCTAGCAGGGTTTTAAGACACGATTGGATAAATAGTGACTTGGGTTGAGCAACTGCGCTCAGTCTAACTCTGATACTTCAAAACTAGTGGCACTCTAGGCCAAATACTGGGTCTCACAAGCAGTCTACACTTGACTAGCAGCACCCTAGGCTCGACTAGTGGCACTCTTGGCCTAAGAACAAATACTTTAACTCTGAGAAAATACTTTAACTAACTTTGAAATGCTCTGAGTCACTCCAAGATGGAATAGTAACTTTAAGACACTTCAATTCGTTCAATACTATAGGTGACTAAGTGACTAGTAGACACTTTGTCGAGGTTAAGCACAAAAGCCTTTAATTTGGGCACTAGAATATGGACTAGTAGGTCACAATTGTGGGGATGGCTTGCCTGGCGTGCGAGGCTGCCCCTCCTACTTATATACTACAGAGACAGGTACAGAATAAATATAAATAGATTCTTTAGGGGTAATATTGGTAAGGATATCTTGGCTAGTCATGAATTATGGTGAATGATCATGCAATAGTTGGCCTAGCCTGTTCTTTCTGTCGGATAGCAGATCGAGGGACTCCGCTATTGGGTCGTTTCTGCACCCTTTGCCCAGCAGTGCTCCACTAGTGACATGGCTATATGAATAGTCAGGTAACCGTGCCTGTAGCAACTGCTCGATTGTGATCGGGGCACAGCCTGGCTATACTAGTGCCAATCATATGAGACCTGTATCACACTAGCCAGATCTGGGCTAAGGGTTATGCCTTTACTGGTTCATTTCTAAGTCCTTTCAGAAGTGCTCGCATGACTAGTCATCCTGACTTAGGCGTTCATGCCCAGATCGGTCCACTAGCAACTGAATAGTTGAGATCTGTGTGGGTTCTTACTTCTTGTTTGTGTGCTAGCAGCTGTATTCTTTACTAGTGACCGTATTTTACTAAGTCATACTAGCTTTGGAGGTGCTAGTCCAGTTGGCTGGTAGGGCTGACCCACTAGTGGTATCATTCCTAAGTCCTGACTCGACTAGTAGCATGCTAACTTGACTATCAGTCTGAAGTCTCAACTATAGCCCTTGATATATGACTAGTATAGGATAGACCTGCAACAGTATTGTTATAAAATCGCAAAATCTAGGTGTGAACACATAGACAGCATATCAACATAACATAGGTGCTCTCAGCAAAGGAAGCTCCGAACCTTTGGCACTCAGTGTATTTTCCAAGTTCTGTCTGGATCAAGAACGACTCACCCTCACTTCGTCATCCTATCCAGCCCTGAATTCCTCCTAATTGATATTTAATGTCGCAGTGTACATCAGGGATGGTAATATGGAAATACTGCATGTTGGCGGTGAGGTGAACACCATATGCAGGTGGATCACTCAACTATTGAAAATCGAGCTCGCAGATTTCTTGATGATGCTGTGATTCCAAGTCGACTGGTGATCGATGTTTCCAAATCATGGATTGCATTGTATATGAATGATCCCTTTGCAAGATGGTGAGATACACGTCAGTCTCAGTTCAGACCTTATACTAATCAGCAGTAAAGGCAAATGTGCGAATGTCTGGGTCTGTCCCACAATTCAAAGAATTATCTGTAGCATCCTAGGCCAGACAAAGATGTTTCTCATGGATATCACATTCAATGTGCGTCGTTAAGGAGGCAGTATGGCCACTACCAGAAGGCTAGGATAATTGGTAAGCAAATCCTTGGTGGACATGTATATATTCAGAATTGAAATTATTTTGCTGTAATTTACAAAATAATATAAAAGGACAGAATTGAATAGGAAGGTCAATAGAGTACAGGGTAGGTGGATTCAGAGTCATGGAACCACAATGTTTATCCTCTTGGTTGTCACGAATGCTATTATCAACATGTAGGCAGTAGCTAATTTCCTCGTCCCTCATGAATGCTAAGTGACCCCTCAGCGCCCATTGCCCACTGCATCTGGAGGTCCAAGAACCGCATAAAGGCCTCATAAGTAATACTTCTGAGAGGTCGGTTTGGGCTGACATGTGAGAATGAGAAGAACGGTATCTACTGACAACTGGCTGTTCAACACCAACAACCATCTCGGCATACTGCGTATGACTGCACAATAGACATTAAGGATAACGAAAAGTTCTATTTTCTGTCTGGAAGCCTGACTTCATTCTACCCGACGGGCCATGGAAGTAAGTGCCCATACCGTGAGGCATCATATAAGTAAAGCTGATGTACTCACTGCTTTCATTCTCACAGCATTCACTCTCCATGGCATCCCTAGAAACCTCCTTCAAAATATCCATCCCGGAGGACAAGCTCAAGCTCCTCCAACAAAAACTTGCTTTGGTCACATTCCCAGATGAGCTTGAAGACTCTGGAACAAAGTATGGCATGCCGCTGAAGGATATCAAATGTCTGGTCACTCGGTGGAAAGACGGCTTCGATTGGCATGCCCAAGAAGCCGCTCTCAATGCAGAACTGCCACAGTTCACTTGTGATATCGAGATTGAGGGTTTTGGGTTGCTGAATATTCACTATGTGCATAAGAAGAGTGAGGTTGAAGATGCTGGGCTGTTGCTCTTCGTACATGGATGTGCATACCCTCCAGATTCTGTGTGTGTTTAGGCAGTAGCTGATACATTGTTACAGGGCCAGGAAGCTTCATTGAAGTGCGCAAGATTCTCCCGCTTCTGACGGTGTCGTCACCAAAGCATCCAAGTTTCCATGTCGTCACGCTGAGTTTGCCTGGGTATGGATTTTCTGAAGGGACGAAGAAGCAAGGATTCAGGCTCATGCAATACGCTGAGGTAGGATTCTGCACCAGCAAGCCTGGGGCTCCACTGACGCCAAGGCACCATTGTAGGTCGCCCACAAGCTCATGCTAGCTCTTGGATACAATGAGTATGGTGTGTCATAATAGTTTCTTCAAAAACCTTTGTTAATTTTCCTCTTCCAGTCACACAGGGAGGCGATTGGGGAGGCACCATGAGTGCCATCTCTTGTTGGAGCAACCGCTAATCATGAGCATAATACTGAAGATCACTCAAAAAATTGCCCTTGTCTACAGCGGCAAGCATAGCAAAGCATGGCATACCAATATGCCTATGTAAGCGTGTCATTCCTTATTCCACCATTTGACAAGTCTGATTTTCTGCAGGGGCCATGCTCCGACTCTTTATGAACCCATACTGTACTTCTGCCACCTCTTGATGCCATACACAGCTGCTGAGAAAGCTAGGTTGGCACATGCAGAATGGTTCAACAAGACAGGAAGAGGGTACTCAGAGGAACAGTCCACTCAGCCTCAAACACTGGGATATTCACTCGCTGATTCTCCGGTGGGTCTTCTTGCATGGATTTATGAGAAGTTGGTGAACTGGACAGATGCATATCATTGGGATGACAATGAAGGTGCGCCGGCCTGAAGTGTCATCTCTGTTTTCCTCACCTAACAACATGTGTTCTTTCCAGTCCTGACATGGATATCCATCTATTTATTCTCAAGATCAGGTCCTATGGCGTCCATCCGCATATATTATGAGGTTTTTTCATCCGACAGGGGTGTCTGGGGAGAAAAACCGTCCATTCCACAAGGCTTATCATACTTTCCCAAGGAACTTATCTCTGTGCCTCATCTGTATGTATTTCCTATGCTTATGGCGAATCCAATACTGAGCCATCTTCACAGCTGGACCCGTACTGTTGGCAACATTGTTTTTGTATCTGAGCATACTGGTGGCGGACATTTCATGGCGCATGAAAAACCTCAAGAGCTGGTTGATGATGTGAGGAAGATGTTTGGGAAGGGAGGGCCTGCATTTGGGGTCGTTCCTGGGAAGACTGGGTATATGTGAAGGGTCTACCGGGAGAGACATGTTTGATACTTGGCATCTGATGAGTATTCCAAGTCGTAAAAGTCAGGCTGATAGGATGGAGTTGAAGCTTGCATGTGCATATGTTGAAATCATATTGGATGCAACAGGACATCTTGTCAAGATCACAGTACCCTTGTTGATCTTAAAAACCGTTCCTCCAACTGCTCGCATTGCAAATATAGCTAGTAGTCATGAGTATGAAGTTGCGAGCCAACCAGAGAAACTTCAGTTCAATTTCTAAATCATTGACTATCTCAATATTGGCACTCCTGCCTTATTCGCTATGAGAACATGGTAAGACTTAGATTCTAACAAAATATTTGAATTTGATATCGAACTTAGTCACTTGCGCATGACAGGTCCGAACTGAGTCATGACTCGATCCTTGCCATGTCTTTGACTTCCCTTGTTATGGCAATGTCAGGGTTATGGGCAATTTGTGAATACTTAAATTTAATATTCAGCTTCAGCCTGACTTGTGACTCACTCTTCACTTATGGCCTCTGACTTCTATTGTCTTGGCAATGTCAACAGGGTCGACACCTTGGCATTGGTTGGATCACTGATATCAACTTGAGCTATCCCTCCAGAGGATGGGTATGAGAAGAAACATGTCGCAGAACATGCAATCCTCTTTGTTGTAATGATACCTGGTGATGCTATCGTGGTGCAAAACATTCCGACTTATGACTCAAAAAAGGGATACTGAAGTTGATATACTTCATTTCTAGATATTTAAATGTTGCATGTTCCCTCAGCTGTGCCAGTAAGCCGAGCATTTTCGTGTGCTAGTATTCACAGCTAGGGCAATCTATGCCATAAAAACACCCCCGTGTCATTTTTCCGACAATCCGTGCAAGTAAGCACTCATGACATGAGTCACCATATAAATAAAGCTAACATACCCAGCTGTTCCATTCTCATAGCATTCTAAATGACCTCCATGGCGTCCTCAGAGACTCCCTTCAATATATTCATCCCAGATGACAAGCTCAAGCTCCTCCAACAAAAACTTGCTTTAGTTACATTCCCAGATGAGCTTGAAGACTCTGGAATGAAGTATGGCGTGCTGCTGAAAGACATCCAGCGATTGGTGACTCAGTGGAAAGACGGCTTTGACTGGTGAGCCCAAGAAGCCACTCTCAACGCGGAGCTCCCTCAGTTCACCTGTGATATCGATGTCGAGGGTTTCAGAGTGCTGAACATTCATTATGTGCACAAGAAGAGCAAAGTCGAAGATGCTGTGCCATTACTTTTTGTTCATGGGTGTGCGTGTGCTCTAGATTTTGTCTACACGTGTGGTGGCTGACATATCATTACAGGGCCAGGAAGCTTCATCGAAGTATGAAAGATTCTCCCACTATTGACGTCGGCATCAGCAGAACATCCAAGCTTCCATGTTGTCGCGTTGAGTTTACCAGGATACAGGTTCTCAGAGGGCAGCAAAAAGCAGAGCTTTAGACTTGCACAATATGCTGAGGTGCATCTCTTCAGGACAGCCTTGCGCACCATTGATGCAAGGCACCATTACCAGTCGCCCACAAGCTTATGCTAGCTCTGGGTTACAACAAATATGGTGTGTGACTGTTAGTCCCTTTTCATGTGATGCTGCTTGACTTTGCACTTCCAGTTACTGAAGGTGGAGATTGGGGAGGCTTCGTGAGTGAAATTTCTCCTAGAAACACTGATACTCATGAGCACATTCTTGCAGATCACTCGAAAAATCGCCCTGGTCTATGGCAGCAAGCATAGCAAAGCCTTGCACACCAATATGGCCATGTAAGTTTCATTTTTAATTCCATAATTCGACGAGCCTGATTGTTTACAGAGGATGCACTCTGACATTTTATGAACCCATACTGTACCTCTGCCATCTCTTGATGCCATACATGGCCGCTGAGAAAGCCAGGTTGGCATGTACACAGTGGTTTACCACTCACAGATCAGGCTACTCAGCGGAACATTCTACTCAGCCTCAAACACTGGGATATTTGCTCGCTGACTCTCCAGTAGGTCTTCTTGCATGGATTTATGAGAAGCTGGTGAACTGGACGGACACGTATCCTTGGGATGATGATGTAGGTGGGCCTGTCCAAAACTTCCTCTCCATCTCCTCATCTAAACATGCATGTTCTTTCCAGTCCTGATGTGGATATCCATCTATTTCTTCTCGAGGTCAGGTCCCACGGCATCCATACACATTTACTACAAAATTCTTGGCTCATCCAACATGGCCGTGTTGGGACAAAAACCCGCTATTCCTAATGGCTTGTTGTACTTCCCAAAGGAAGTTATGGCTGTTCCTCATATGTAAGTATCTCAGATATCCTAGAACGAAAATCCGTACTGAGTTTTGTCATTCCAGCTGGACTCATACCACCGGAAACATCATTTTTGAATCCGAGCATACTAGTGGTGGGCATTTTCTGGCACATGAAAAACTGCAAGAGCTAGTGGATGATGTGAGGATGATGTTTGGGAAAGGAGGACCTGCATTTGGTGTTGTTCCCGGGAAGACTGGTTATAAGTGAGAAATGCGGAGCCGACTGATGGGCCTTCCAAGTCGTGACAATTAGGTCCTCAGGACGAAGCTGTAGTTAGTATGTGTGATATTGGAATGTATCAAGATGTACTCCATGCTCAGTCGGACTCAAAGAAATGTTTCACTTCGAATCCCTTCATAGGACCCCGGGACAAACCTTTAGTGACTGTCGTAGACATGTTCCATGGCTAGCAGGAATGCGGCCTGTCATGAGTTTTGGGTGTCATAACCTGAACACAGACCAATGCAGATTCAATTCAAGAGTCAATGTTTTGGTACTTGTCTACCAGGTCATTCCACTGGAGTGCAGGCATTGGAAGAACGATGTTTACTAGCTACACCTAACCTGTACCAAAGTCGGACAAATGCGAATCCATGCAACAAAATTTTGAAGTTTCTGTTGGGACTAACTTGAGCTATCTCACTCTTGATGGGCTGGAATCCTAAGGTCCTCGATGGTTATACGGATTGGTGGTGTTACAATATAGCTATATTCACGTACATGATTTGGATAATTAAATATTCACTACTGCATATGCAACATTCCAATGTTGATCATTGAAACCATCTTCTTCATACAGGGCGACAACCTTATGTTTGTCTCATTGACAGGCTTTGGTTGGGGGCTGTGTCATATTAGTCAGTTTTGTAGCACAAGAGCCGGATCAGTGCCTCATACCTGCTTGATGAATTCTTGAAAGCCCTTTCCAAGGGTCTTGACCAAGCCCAAGTGGGTGATTGTAGTGTGAGAACAGTCAAACAGAACAAAGAATTTGTCCGCTCCATCATATCCTATGCCCTAAATGCAAAACTAAGCATCATCATGGACTCAAGTAGTCAGAGATGTTGTCACAGAAATTTCCACTGTGATTCCAGGCAGAGCACATGGAATAAAGGTATTGGCATTGACCAGGATGTCGGGTTCTTTGTGGACATGTTTCTGTGTCATGCACAATATACTGACTCCTGGGAGGCCAAGTGCTCTGTCGATGGGACCGAATGAGATGAATGGGATGGTCGCATTGATAGGGATAACAGAGCATTGGTCTCCCATGAGGCGATGCAGATATACACAGAAGGAACTCTCCCATGCTTCATATGGCTGCGCTTCTATCTGCCTTCTGTGTTTGCCTTCTCGTACGAGAAAACAGTTTCCTGTAGGCATCTGAGGGTCAGGAACATGGCATATTTGTGACAGTTGCCACACTCCTAAGGCTTTCAAGACATTGTAGTTGTTCCCCAATGGCTGAGTACTCTTTATCAGATCAGAATCAACTGAAGAGGAACATCGAACTGACGAAATCTTTAGGATGGAAGGGAACGCCGTTGGCTCGGCCTTGCAATAATGAGTGTTGGTCACTACTCAAAGGACCCTGGATAATCTGATATCCATGTGGACTGATGGTTATCTGAGGAAATATTAGCATATTGATTTTAGGGATCACAACATTTGGGGAGCCTACCACCAGCAGGGATGTAAATAGTGGTTGTACAGGACCCACATGGGGCTGGACGACAACTATTAAGGGTGTTAGCCTCTGAGGAGTATGCTACAGATTGATATTTCAGAATACAGGATGGTGTTTCAGCAGGTTGAAGCATGTACCAGAGTCCGGCAAAGTTTGGCATAAGAAGGAAGTGTGAAGTTCTACAGGAAACGTGAGATAGGACATTGACAAGACAGGGATGATCCTACCTCTTCGGAAGGCATTCTGCATCGAGGCTGAGATATGGGAAAGTCTCTTCTGTTGAAGGAAGCTATAAATATTTGCGTATCTAACCCCAGTCACTGTCAGACATTGTTTGCTATAAATATTAGGTCATACCTAATTAGCCGTCACATTGTTGCCAGATTTTACTATTGAGTCAGGTAGGTAGGTAGGTACTGTGGCACCAATTCTGTATGTGCAACTGAGACTGGCAAAACATATTTACCAGGAAATGAACAAAGCTCAGCATGAGGAATAAAATTACCTGGCCATTTGAAGGCCCATCGTGACACACTGGTCGAGACAAACCATGTTGTAGAATAAGGTGTAATGAAAGTGTTAAATGCAGTGGTAAACTGTGAGACTCGACCATTTGAGAGAGATTAAGTTAGGAGGTGCTAAAGCAATGAATACAAGGGGGTACTAATTTTGGGATTTGGTATACAACATCGAAAAAACTTTTAACGGCCCTTGACCCCCCAACCTACCTACCATATGACATCATAATTACCATATATAGAATAGTGTGCCTGATAATCTTGTCTGGCAAGCCCGATGCCGCATACCATGAGCTGTGCCAAGCATATAGTTGAAATCCCACCTTGTTGCAACCAATGGTACCTCTGGTACTACCATGTGTTGGAGAAGTATTGTATGATAATGATAGCACATAAAGATTAATTTCATAGCATGTGCAGCTTGAGGGAAGTCCAAAGTGCATATATAAGTATTTGTAGAGTCATAACAAATGTTTAATAACCTTGAATGGGGTCAGATAATACACAAAGTAGATCTATTTTGTACAAAAATGTCAGCATGTACCCATATATAGGGCAGAACTATGTGCTACAAAAAAAAATTTAGCAGCCCTTCGGGCCCAACCTACCTACCACCAGTGTGTACCGGTCTGCAATCCCAGTACCCTCTTGAATGAATATTGGAGGCTAAGATCCCCAGTATATATACTACAAGGTATGTACTTCTAGAATGTACTACTACCTACCAGTATCCATGTCTGACTCATTGCTGAGTGAGCAGACAAACGAACGACTTGAGGAGAAGCAACCCTTCCTGACAGGTAAATGTATTTTTTCCACTAGTTATAGTGGAACTGAAAGTACATTTTCTCCAGTAACTATAGGGCTGCCTTTCTCATCCCAGCTGGTGATAGGAACCATGTGTGTCATTTCTTCATTACTTTTTTCCCTTGCTTCCCGTTCCCTTTCACAAAATCCTATCCCATGGCTTGTATAAAAATAGATACATAGAGTAAACAAATATATATAGTCATTCGAAATGCAAATAAAATATGGTGCCAGTGGGTGGACCATATCGACAGTGGTCATCAGGAGGTATGGTCAAAAGAAGGGATCATTGCCCTGTCATAGTGGCTGATATAAGCTGGAAAAAATAGGTGTCGGGATAGGGAGTGGTGAAGAGGCTCTGTGCGTGCCAGGCTAGAAATGCACTAGCATATATAACACTAACACACCCACACTCACACTCACACACATACAAACCCTCAGTAGTTCGGGGGTGATGTGCGATACAAGCACACAATAGCAGTAGTATTGAAAGAATCCTTGCACGTTACAATATAATATAGCGTGCTTAGCAATATAATAATCTTCTAAGTCCAAATGCTTTGGAACAGGAGGTGAGTGAAAGAATCGCTCGGCCTCAAGGCAAAAGTATTATTTTGCAAGCCCCCAAATGTTCTACAAGAATGTATAACCCTCAAAATACATCGCGCACAACACACAAGTGTCCACAATGTTTCACAATTCACTTGACATGACTTAAAGCCTTGTGCTCCAAGCAGAAAACACTTCAAAACCCATTCGTAGATCCACAGGGTTCTAACCTATGCGATCCAGAGATACACAAACACAGAAAACACGTCCACAAGCCACAGGGTTTGAACGTATGCCACTTGGGAATAAACCAAAAAAACCTCAGAGATTACTGACAAGCCAAAGGGTTTGAACCTCTGCCACTTGCAATAACTCAGAATTCACAAACAAGTTCCAAAAACACAAATGCACATTCAAGTTATCACAATACAATATTCTCTAAGTAGAGCACAATCAATTACTGTACTTTACTTGAACAAATCAAGCACGCTCGAGCAAGGCGTGCCTCGCGAGCCCTCAAGGTGTTCAAAATAATTCTCAGTTCAATAATATTCTCTTGCTCGAAGCTTCAAATAAAATCCTTTCGTCATACACTAAGCGCGCTGCTTCATAGTACAACTGTAGGGGTCTGAAAACTTGCTAACTACCTGTAACTACCGCTCTTATATTTACTGTTAACTATATGAAATGTAAATACTGAAAATAGACAACGCTCCACCTCGGACTCCCTTCTCTTGCGTGCCATGTCAGCCGTAGTGATAGTAATCATTATTTTACTCAGCACTCCATGTCGGCGCGCATGCTACTGCTGTTTTCTCCACTTGGCAAGGCCTAGCCTCGTTGTGCCATGCAGCGTGTGTCTTCTTATTGGCTCCATGGATTTAATTACAGTGCCATGCAACTTATCTAGTGAGCGAGTTTTATTTTATTGGTTGCCACGCAACCATTTCTAGTTTAATATTTCATATGGGCAGCAGGTTTTATTTCTCTCTGGCCGAGAACTCCTTAGAGTATTCGGACTTGTTGATTCTTCATTCAGGATGATGTTTCTCGGTGATTGCTGGATCAGCAGGGTTCGCACGTCATAGATCAATGTAGTGCGAAGCACCTTCAATATATTATCTTCAGTGAATTTAATTGAGTGATACACTGCAGAGGAGGGCACAGTGTGTGTGTATAAGCACTGAGACTGCACACTTAAATGACACAAGTGTGCTGCTCTAAGTCTGAGCCATGCGCTCTACTCATATTATTTTTATTATAGTGCTTTCTGCCTCAGTGTGTAGTGCTCTATGCCTTACATGCACTCTTGTTACGATTTATTCATTTCTTTTCCTTTTTCTTCGTTTGACTCAGCCAGATTACGCACTAGCGATCATCACGGACTGATTCTCACAGTACTATCTTTAGCATACCAACGTGTATTTAAGTAGAGCCTCAGCTGGTCTAAACCCCAGCTTCGGCTAAGGTTTAATCTACCTAACATCGAACTCCGTCCTTCGTGACTATCTGTCCCATCGACTTGACTCGTCTTTGACTTGCTAGAGCATCGTCTACCGAAGTGCGAGTAGTGATCCTAGTATGATCTAAGTCGATAGAGTTAGTGGCTAACATTTAGCCGAAGCTCGTCCTACGTTGCTCAGCATCGCGCTGCCCAACCTACCCGTTCTCAATATTCAGCCGATACACTTCCTCGTCGCAATAGTCCTTTGGGTGATACCCTTTGATCTATTGCTCCAGATCATAGTGCTCGCCTGGATCATCGAATTTCTCCCTCACGACCCCATTCTTGCAGCCCTAGTAACTGCACTCTTTACCCTTGCTCTTGTCAGGCTCGGAATCTCTGCAACATTGTTAGCAGGACTGCTAGCTGCGTTGTACGGATTGTACCCCCGTCTCGTTTAAGGGCCAAAACGAATCCCTTTATCCTTACCTTCCAGCTCGCGGCACTGTTAACAACCCTGTTGATAGTGATTACGAGCACTGCCCCAGACTGCGAAATCCTGCTGATGAACGGCTCGAACTACGAGACCGACCTTAGCCTGATTATTGCAATCCTCATCGTACTCACCATACTTGCTGTCTATCAGCTTGCATGGTCAATCGTCGAATTATGCCGAGAGTAGATCCACGACTGGATGCCCTGGTCCGACTCCATTCTCGCCGTCTTCGCGACTTTTACATTCTTTTTCTTGTCCATTATTTTGTACCGACTACACCGTTGTTTTCGACAACAAAGGCGAGTCCGCGCACAACTACCTTTCCACTACATCCCCAGCATCCCGGCGTATCCCCCGCCAATAATTCACATTCCCACGGCATCTCAACAGACGATACAAGATGTCGAATCCGCCGCCTCCGGGGAACATGGAAGATCCCTCTACACATCGTCGCGACCCAGCTCGCGATCCTCCGAGTCGAGCACCGACTCCTACAGAAGCACTTCCAACGAGTCAGTCAACATCACCGATACCAGGAGCGTACTCCTCGACCGAGGAGACTCGCCCTTACCAGGTCTCTTCGACCAGTCTCCAGTCCAAGGCGAGTCTGGCAACGACAGAAGCCGAGGACAAGGCACCAGGCATCTGGTCGCGGGTGAAGAAAGCGCTGACACCGAGTTCGAAGGGGACGAGCTCACAGAGTGGGAAAGGACCCGACTCGACAACCTCCTCGACGACCTCTACCCGAACGAGGAGGAGAATGCTACCCATACCGGAGACAACTACAGGGGAAGGTCAGGGCATACATGGACAGATGCCGTCTGGAAAAGTGAAAGTAGGAGATACCGGGTCGCCCAGGAGGACGACTACGACAGTGATTCCGGAGAGCTTGGCCTCGGAGCCTCCGCGGCTACCACCAGTGCAACTGACGCACAGCCTCTTCCAAGGTCCTGGCCAACCGATAGGGGAGAGCCAATCGGTTGGCACCCCAGCACCAGCTGGGTCTATGCAGACCGGAAAGAGGCTCCTATGGCCAGAAACCAAGCCGGAGGAAAGCCCGACCCGATCCCTGAAAGGTCCGAGACCCCTGAGGTCGCTCCCGCCGTCCCCTCGCATGAGCCGACGAGTGGGGAGCTTTGGGGTGAGTTCCCAGAGTACGATGCCGAAGAACTTGGAACAATTACCGTTTCTGAGCGACTCGCCGGAGTCTCCAATTGGGAGCCGTCGGTATCATCAAGAGCCTTCGCTGACCCCGTCCCGGCCTCACAGCGTCCGTGGCCCCTCCTCTATCACACGTACGTCGAGTCCCTCCGACTCACTAGAGCTGGCCGGCTCGCCCCAGAAAACGAGGCCGCAATGGAGCGAGGCAGAGCGCATGACGCACGCATCCGACGTGCCGAGGAGGACGCTCTCCAAGGGCCCGGAGGC